TTTTTTTTTTTTTTTTTTTTTTGGTACTGGGATCGAACTTGGGTCCTTGTGCTTGCAAGGCAGGTGACGGAACCACTGAGCCAAATCCCTGGCCCATTTCCCTTTTTTCTGCACACGAAAAGCGTGTTGAACGTGTGGCCTGCTTAGGTGTTGATGTCGCGCTGGGGATGGCAGGCAGCAGATCCTCAGTCCCGGAGAGGGAGAGGCCAAGCTGTCCCGTCACAGTCCGCATCCCCAGGCCCGACCACCTTGAGCCGGAAAGCCATCGCAGTGGAGCTTTAGGGTGAGGCGCAGGAGAGTGAGCCGTTCGGGATTGTTCCCGGACTCCCAGCCTGGCACAGACGGGGGAGCCGGGGGAGCCGGGGAACCCAGTCCAGAGGGAGCAGAGGGCGGGCCTGAGATAGGCAGCTCCCGGAGAGGGGCAGGCAGGCGGCTGGGTCCTGTGGGGCGAGCTCGCAGGTCCAGGTCGGGACCAGCCAGGGCAGCCGCACCTTTCCTGGAGGAAGACGATTCCTCCAGCCAAGCCCCCTTGCTGCCCACCTCCCTCAGGGCCCGAAGCCTTCCAGAACGCCAAGGAGGAGGCCGGGGCTTCGGACTGGGAAGCGGGAAGGGAGAGGACGGGAGGGAGACGGTCTGGAGTCCACGTCCCCTCCTCCACAGTTTCCGGCTGCGCCTCGGTGACGGGCCTCATGGGCAAGCCGCCTTCTGGTGTCGGACCTCTGGTTCCTAGGTCAGACTTACTTAGGTGAGCTGGGAGTTGGGTTAGGAAACCTAAAGGCCATGAGACTAACGGGATCCCAGGGTGACGGCCGAATAGTGCCGTCAGAGACAGCGTGGGTGACATTCTCTCAAAGCAGAGTCCGGCAGCCATCAGAACTGATGGGCACAGACCCCTGGCGTTGGCTAATTATTCCTTCCTGGAAGTGGGAGGATACGCTGGCTGAATGATTATTCGATGGGGGAAGCAGAAAAGTCCTGGGTCACGTGAACAAAAGGCTAAGCCAGAATGTAAAATAGGGAGCAGTGGCCTTGATCATTTCCAAGGGGAGTTTGCAGACCCTGAACCCCCTGGGGGCGAGGCAGGGGGTCCCCTTGCGGACCAGCACATCTTGGTCACCAGCCTGGTCTTTGCTTCCTGGATACACAGCAAGACCCTGCCTCAAAAAACAAAAGCAAGGGGCTGGGAATTTAGCTCAGCAGTTTTGCTGCCTGCTTTGCAAGTGCAAGGTCCCGAGGGTATCAAAAAAACAAACAAACAAACAAACAAAACAAAAAGCAAGGCTAAGGCTCCACTACTATTACAGATAAGTAAACAGGATCTTTCTGAGACTCTAGCTCTCAGACTCTTGATAATTTATCTAACATGCTCTCTAACATAAGTTCTTTCTCAGTGGAAATCTGACCTCTCATTTGGCCTAAAAGTAAAGTTTCTTCCATCAAACAGGCAGCTCAATGGACCCTGACTTTTCTCATTGTTTTCGGACAGGCTTTTCCTTCCTCAACCCAGCCTGCCAATGAGCCACAGCACCTCAGGGTAGTTGGAGAGCACATAGACCCAGTTTGAAGAACCTGTGAAAAAGATAGACCACCACTCCTTCAGCACCCTATAAAGATTTACGGGATTTATGTCTCTTGGGGGAAATGAGGTAGGAGGTAGGGGAGGCAAAGCTGGCTGGATAATAAGTGGGACCTGTTACAAAATCCCAAGGTAGAGCCACATAATTCCTAGGGCCCCGGATGTGGGACTTCCCGTGGGTTCCCAGGAGATGTGGACAGGCCCACAAGGAGCTGGCTGTTTTGATTCTTCATAGTCGCCCGCGTGTCTCCTAGACTAGTACTTCTTCTATATTCTCTTTTGTTTGGCCCAGGTTCACTCTGCAGAGCCAGTTTTTCCTCTTACCCCTTCATCCTTCACCTATCAAATATTCTTTTGGCACCTTTAAAAAAAATGCCCATGTCTGGGCAAAATACTAAGCCAAAAGCAGCACAGCATACCTGAAGAGATTGAAAAGATTAGGGCCACCATGAAGGACTTAAAAAATACAAGAGCGGTGGGTCCCAGATCTACCCTCTGAACTGTATTTAGTCTTTGCAGAAGATGGTGGATCTTGGAGAACAATAGTGGCTTGTTATGAGGCAAAATAAAATGTATTTGATTTGATTGCCTTTGTCGTTCATTTGAAAGGTATATTTCCCTTGCGTTAAAAAGTACTCCTATTTGGGGAAGGTGAAACAAAGAAAAGCATAATAATTTGAATTTCTTTTTTCTTTTGGGGTACTGGGAATCAAACTCAGGTCCTTATGCTTGCAAGAGAGGCGGCAGAACCAATGAGCTAAATCCCTGGCCCCAAGATTTGAAATTCTTTTCTAGTGCCCCTGGCCATGATGTGCTGCCTTACTACAGGCCCAAAGCAGCAGGACCAGCTGCATGGGCTAAAACCTCTGAAACATAAAGGGAACAACATAGCTGATCACAGAGGCACAGGGATTCGGCAAGGTCCTCACACAGAATACTGTGCGGCCATGCAAAAGACAAAGTAGCTCGGTCCTGCTGTAGGGAGCAGGGACGCAGTGTATGGAGTCCAGGATCCCACACGAGTCAAGCTGGAGGCCCAGAGCCCAAGGCAGCATCTCACTCAAGTCTGCATGGAGGATCTGCACCAGGAAGGCCCGAAGGCCAGCGGGGGGAGCCAGGGAGCCTGCGCTGGCAGAGGGAAGGGTCCGTGCACGCAGGCCGAGGGGTCTGGGGTGAAGACCAGAGGTCCCCTGAGGAGAGCAGCACCCATCCCTGGTGACAGCGAGGACCCAGCTCCTGAGTTGGCACCAGGAAAACCAGCAGTGCAAAGCCTGCCTAGGAGCATCCGCAGCACCGATCTTCCCCTCCAGTTCTCTCCTCTTAGCCGTTGGCAGCCGTCCTCAGGAGGGTCTCCCGCGCCCTCCGCCCAGCTGGCCAAGCTGACCGTTAATTAGTCCGCCACACTCCCTGAGTATCCCTGTGAAGCTGCAGTAAGGTATTGCTAAGAAAGCTGTAAATGGGGGCATTACGATTGGCGGATTTAGGTTTGGGTATTGTAGCGGCAGAGAAGAAGTGGCCTTTCCTGTCTGGGAGAGTCTGGGCCCTGGGATCTTTTGAGCCAGAGATGGCCGGCAGGGGCCCAGGCCAGACACCGAAGTGCACCGCAGCGGGCCAGGCAGAGCTGCAGGGAGGCGTGGGTGGGGCTCCAGCTAGGCCGTGTCTTGCCCAGAGGCGTTCCGCAGTCAGTCAAGACCAGGTCTGAGCGAAGCAGCTTTATTGATTTTGGGGCGGTAGGCGAAAGTCCAGGAACTGCTGCCGTCCAGAGGACAAGTCTCCTTGGAGCACCGATGATCCCGCGGCGTTGTCCCGGCAGCTGCTCAATTCCGTGTCCTCCGGCCCTGTGGGGCTGGGCCCTGGCACGGGCTTGGAGCCCAAGGGTGTGGGCAGGGAAAAGGGCGAGAAAAAAGCAAAACACAGGCCGACTCCGGCAGGCCATGGGCCAGGTTAACTGGCATCACAGCTGTGGACACAACATTTAAAAATGATCCACAAGCCTCCTGCAGAGCTGGGCGGGATGGGACCCAAGAGCTAAGGCGGCAGAGGGAGACCCTGAAGGCAGACGCCAGCTGCTGGGCCCTCTTCAGCCGCCTGGCAGACCCGTGCAGGATCAAGCAGCTTGGTGTTCACAGTGAGAGTGGCCTTGGGTCAACAGGAAGCGACCCAGGCGACTGTTACCATACCCCACACAATCGGCCGGCTATGTGGCCTCTATCCAGGGGGCGATATCTAAGTTGAGTTACAGCAAGTGAGGCTGGAGGCCTTAGTGTGTGTGTGTGTGTGTGTGTGTGTGTGTGTGTGTTACTAGGGGGTGAACCCAAGGCCTTCACACTGAGCCACGTCCACAGCCTCTCTCTAATGTTTTCTATTTTGAGACAGGATCTTGCTAAGTTGTCCAGGCTGGGCTTGAATTTGACCGTCCTCCATTCTCAGCCTCCCAGAGTGCTGGGATTTCAGGCACGTTCCACCATGCCCGGCTGTCTGGGTTCTTTAGAATCGGGGTCTCGGGTCGGGTTTGCTGAAACACCGTGCCGCACAGGGTAATCGTGAGCCACACCCAGGAGTCGCTTTTGTCCTCCCAGGCCCTGTCCCATCACTGTCTTGCCACGGTGGCCCCTGAGTGTCTCGTAACAACCCTTGTGCTTGGCTCAAAGGTGCACTCCCCAGGGGCCGGGGATTTAACTCCCCCACCTGCCTTGTCAGAGCAAAGTCAGGAGTTTGATCCCAAGTACCAAAAAAAAGCCGCCCCCATGACAGGCGAGTAAGCGGCCCCATTCCGAACCCCTCATCTTGGGCGCCCATCCTGGTAGATCTTCTGCTCCCTCTACGGCACCCTGCATCCATCGCCTTTGTACCCCAAAGGTGAATTTTAATGAAACACACATAGGCCTGTTTCTTGCCCTCAGTGCGATGCATGGAGAGCTCCCCGGTGAGAAAAGTTGTCAGGTTCACTCCCAGTGTACACTAGCATCTAGGACAGGACTTGATAGGTAGTGGGAGTCTACTGCACATCTGTGAAAAATGACTAAAGGAAATGTGCAGCTCACACACCATGGAGTACTGCTGTGCCATAACGAAGGACAAATGAGTCATTTGTAGGACGATGGATGCATCTTGAGACCCTAGTGAGAGCAATCAGACACATAGTTTTTCACGTAGAAAAAACCCTGAACTGTAAATAAAACAACAAAATAGAAGGTAATAGGAAACAGGGAGGCAGTTGTTTCTCAGATGGGAGAGGGATCTAGGGAGGGCCGGGTGTGGTGACGCACACCTGTAATCCCAGCATTTGGAAGGCTGAGGCAGGAGGATCACTGCAAGTTCAAGACCAGCCTGGGCTACATAGTGAGTTCCAGGTCAGTCTCAACTACACAGTGAGACCCTGTCTGAAAAAACAAAAAAAAAAAAAGGGAGAGGTGAGGGGAGGCGATGAAAACAGGAATGAAGATTGTTCTATACGTGTGCCAGCCCCAGGAATGTGGTCGCTACATACTGCAAACACAAACTAATAAAAGAAGAACTAAAAAGAATTCAGAAAAAAAAAAAGAGAAGCTAGGCTGATGCAGGGGAGTCTCCTGGTGTCACTTCCCAGCAGGTCTGGGGACCTACCTCTTTCTGGTCGGTCACTCAAGGCGCAGCCCATGGGGAGCACAGCCGCTCTCTGACCCCTCTGGGGCGTAGATTCCTCCTGGAGCTGTTTGCTGGCCCAGAGCCCATTGCCTGGGTTCAAGCTGTGTCTTGAGCCTCATCCCTCCTCCTGCCGCTGCCCTGGCAGCCTGGGTTCTTTCTTGCCGCATTCCCTCTACCTGGAATCCGGGCCAGCATTCTTACCCCACCCCTGCCTCCCTCCCCACAGCTGCCAGAGGGAGTGTTGTAAAAAATACTTGAAGAATTCTAGTTTCAAGGCTCCCACACTCCTGGATATCTAGGGAAAGGATCGAGCGGGGACACTGGCCTGAGGTTCAGGGTGTTTCCCGGTCGGCCCAGACTCTGCCTTTCCCGGCTCCAGGCCTGCCCTGCCCGGATGCCCGCTCTGGGGCCGGCTTCCTGCTGGTGCCTGCCTTTCCTCTCCTCCACCTGGTGTCGGCCCCTGTCTGACCTGAGGTGGGGCACATGGGCGCAGATGGCTCTGGGTGTTCACATCTCTAGAGCCCTGGCCACCGTGTGTCCTTTGGGGACCAGGCTGTGTAACTCAGATCTCAGTGTGGGGGTGGAACAGGGAAGTGTGTGGCATGCTGCCTGCCCCCCGGCTGTGGGCGGAATTCCCGAACAAACACTCCTGAGGCTAGACGGCGTCTGCTGAGGACAGTGGTTCAGGTGCAGGCAGTTGGGTGTAGAGAAAATCTGGTTCCTCATTAACTTAATCCTCTATAGTTACTGGTTCATGAAATGCAGGCTACCCTACTTCCTGGGCTTCTCAGAATAATAGCAAGCCAAGCGGGGTTTTAAGAGTCTTGTCCACTAGAGGGAGGCCTCCTCCTGGTTCCTCCTGTAAATCTTAAAGACTGTCTCTGTCTCTTTTTGTTCCTCGTTAACATCCCATCAGCCCTCTGTAGGGCCCTGAGCCTGAGGCCACAGCTCCTGGTGCAGCTGATCCCAGCCAATGAGGAGACATCTTGGAAGAGTTGAAGGAGGGAAGAGACTGAAAAGTAGAAGAGGAAACTGAAGTCTCTTCCATGGTTGACACCCTAATCCTGACTTCTTTTTGCTTCTCGGCCCCGCTGATTTCTTCTTTTAATTGAGGCAATACTTTATTCGGATTTTCTTGGTTTACCTAGCGTCCTTTTTCTGTCCCCGAATCCCATCCTGGGTACGTTATGTTTAGTCACCACGTCTCCTCAGCTTCCTCTTAGCTTGAGTTTCTCAGACAGCCTTTGGATGTGATGACTGACGGCTCGGAGGTGTGCCTGTCTTGTGTTCTATATAATGTCTCATCCATCTGATGTTTTTCTACAGTAGGACTGGGGTTTCGGGCACAGACGCGAGGCCCAGTTCCTCTCACACATACTGGGCGTGTCTGCTTAGCGACTCAGAGAACTGTTGTCGGCCCTGAGCCCAGGTTCAAGCAGTGCCGTCAGGGTTCTCAGCGGCCAGGCGGGCTCGTACTCCACACTCCGCACACGGATTTCTTTGAATGCTGTTTACAAGGGGACATCTGTTTGTCTGCTCCAGATCCCTTCCCTCTCTAGAAACGTCACCTTGTTCCCTCTGGGAAAACTTGCTCTGTTACACATCACAACCCAGTGCAGCCAGACTGCTTGCTCCCCAGGAAGGCACCTCATGCCCTTGAACGTAAAATGAGCGCTTTGGGATCAGGCATACAGCCCAGCATGGCCATTTCAAATCCCCTCCGAGGCTTTTCTGCCAGAGGGACTTAGAATATGTTCTCCTCGGGCTGAGGATGCTAAGCTTGTAATTGTGCATTTGGGCAGCCAGTGAAAAACAGTATCGGACACAGGGAATGTGGCCAGGTCACATCATTTGAGCTCCTGGATCAAGCTGTACCTGAAACCAGTACTTTACTTGTGTGACTAAATTCTGATGTCTTTTAATCGAGTTAGTTTTTACCAATTTCTACTGTCTCCAACTAGTGTCCTTTTAATTAAAAAAAAAAAAAATATATATATATCTCAGCTTCCTGATAGATTTCTCTCAGCTTTACTCACAGAAGGGCCACTCACTGGGCAACACCTTGGGCTGGGGACCCAGGGGGCCTCTAACCCTTTCACAGTTTCTGAAAAGCAGTTTTATTCTGGTTTGTTTTTTCCTCCCCAAGCCCCTGCCCCGGCAACAAACCAACAGTCAGGCAAACCCATTGCTATGGCTTAGATCTAGGTTCAGGGGCAGGGCCGCTGTACTCATCCGTGGGGTCACTGCTGAATGAGCCGGTAGGGTGTGTAGCCTGGGAGGGTGCATCACCCTGCCCTGCTCCTGAGCAGGTCTCCTCTGCCAGACCCTCCAGCAGGCCCTTCCTGCCTTGGAGTCAGCTGACTTGGAACTGAATCCTCTAAAAACGCTGAGCCAAAGAAAACCTCACCTCCTTTACATTGTGGGTATTTTGTCCCAGCAAAGAGAAAGTGACTAAGACACCGATTTTCAGATGTAAGTACTGAAGTGCTTTCTTTTGCCTCAGGTAAGCTTTTCTGTGCTTTTAGTGCCTTGATTGTCCTCACAGGGTCACCTGCATTGTTCAGAGCTGGTCGCACAGCCACTGAGATAGTGCTGCATTCATAAACCCAGTGCTCAAGCCATAGTAAACCAAGTACGAAAGCCATAGGTAAATCCAAATTTGTCCACCAGAAACATTTATGAACCACTGAACTTGTTCTTGTTAATGCTCAGGAAAATCTAACATTAACACTCACTCTTGGACCCTTCTGTCAGCGCCCATTCGAAGGCCCAGAGGCAGTCCAGAGTGGAAACAACATCAGACTTGATAAGAGCCTCAGCCCTCTGGGGAGCCAGACGGCGCTGAAGAAGTCAGGAGAAGCCCAAGAAATGATGGCGCCTCGAGATCTCTATCTGCAGGGCTTGAAAGACGTTTTGCAAAGGGGATAATTTCTCTGCGGAGTTTCTAGGGCAAAGCAAAATTAGGGTCCATTTTTGGAAAGGGAGACTATAAAAGAGACAGAGTTTACAATAATAATAATAAAGAATAAACTAGTACCAAAAGGTCGGACTTTAAATTATCACTGGCAGTTTGAAAATGGCTGGGGATGGGGCATGGGTGAAATATCTGTGGCAGTAAAGCCGGATCCTCTCACTTCAGGACAGTGTATCTAAGAGTCCATGAGACTGTCTTCACAAAGTTCTATCTAGGAGGCTCCTTGACCCGCCACTACTGTTTGGATTTGGACGTCCCAAAGCCCCGTGCATTGAAGGCTTGGTTCTCAGCCATGGTGCTGTTGGGAGGTGTGGAACCTTTAAGAGGTGGGGCCTGATGGGAGGAAGTGAGGTCACAGGACACACCTTTTCCCCTTATGCCCGCCATGATGTTCTGCCCCTCCACAGGCTCAAAGGCAATGTTTCTTCCAACTGTGGACTGAAACCTTCAAAACTGTGAGTCCAAATAAATGCTTCCTGTCTCGGGTATCTGAGGTATTTTGTTACAATAGAAGAAAACTGACATTTCTTCCTTTCTTTTGTGCTGTAGTTCCTCAGGATCACTGCCAAGTACAGTCTGTCACTGACTGACTCATTAGGGAAATGCTTACAAGGCTCCTGTCGTGGTTAGACATGATGAGCTCGTGTGACACTGATTCTCGATCTGCCCCAACTCTCTACTCCTCACCAGTTCTCGTCTGGAAGGCCGGGCTGCTGGAGAGCGCCCTCTAGCGGAGGAGCGGATCTCCGCGTTCAGGTCAGGCTGCCACCTGATGGGAGGGACCCGCTCCTGTTTCGGAAGAGTTTTGTCCCATGGCAGGGGAAGACTGCATTTTGCTCACCCATTTCCGCGTGGACACTGGGTTGCTTTTAACCTTTCGGCTGCTGTGAATGATGCTGCACTATGTAGAGCTTTCGCATTGACTCAGTGCACGTGGCGAAGCTGAGGTTTATTCTAACGTTTAGATCCTAGGCCCCAAGCGTTGCAGCTATGTCAGTGGAGGATACAGTTTGAGATCCCTTGGCCTCTGAGTTCACAGGGCTTCTGGGTAACTCCAGTGAAGGAAGAAATGAACTGGCGGGAAGGCAAAGAGGGAAGCAGGAATAGCAGTGTGCAGTTGGGTCTTCCACGCCCCCCTGGCATGTGTGGATTGTGGAGAAGCCTAAGTGCAATGGAAATGTTTGCTAAATAAATGAATCCCAGAGTCTCTCGGTGTAGTTGATGCGTTTATTAAATCTTTTTTTTTTTTGAGACAGGATCTTGCTATGTAGTTCAGACTGGCCTTGAACTCTTGGCAATCCTCCTGCCTCAGCCTCCCAGGTGCTGGGATAACAGGTGTGTACCATCAGGCCCAGCTTAAATCCTTTGTAAGAGTGCCTTTAAATCGGGAAGACTACTGGACTTCCATTTATTACTGCACAGAGGAAGATTCCTATTTTCAGGTTGTGCACAATATTGCTTTCATACAGAATCTGGTCACAGGAGCACCTTTCCACTGGGCCCCTGGGTCCTGAGACGTATCACTGAAAGCCCATTTAATGACCTTTTTCAGGGCATCCCCAAGACAGCTGACCTCTCTCATCCTTCATCGTTAGTGCCCTGGGGCTGACAGCTGACCTCTCTCATCCTTCATCGTTAGTGCCCTGGGGCTGACCTGATTTTTCCCTCCAGAAGTTGGCTGATCTGTGATATTGAAATTAGAAAAGATAAGGCAGAGACTAACAGCCTCAAAGCTTGACAGAGACTGATGGTCTTGCGCTTGGGACTCACCTCCCCTGCTAACCCATGAAGGTCACTGTGCCAGAAGACAACTGCAGACACAACGCCTGCCCACACCTCCCTGTGTCTGAGAGAAATTGTTAAAGCAGTATTTGCCTGCGCCTCCCTACCCTGTGCTAAATTCTGTTTCTAAGATTCCGCTTGGTTCCCGGCTCTGCCTAAAGAGTAAGGTAAATATAAGAAACAGAATCAGCCGGGCATGATGGTGCACACCTGTAATCCCAGCACTCGGGAGGCTGAGGCAGGAGGATGGCTGTGAGTTTGAGACCAGCCTGGGCTACATAGTGAGTTCCAAGTCAGCCTCAACTATATAGTGAGACCTTGTCTCCAAACAAACAAAAAACCAAACGGCCCATTCTGGAAGTTGACTTCCACTGGGCCCGCTAGGGAATACAGCTGCCTGTCCTTCTGCCCTCCGGCTGCTGCTCTCTTCCGTGGCCCTGACAGTATCATTTGCCAGCTGTGGGCAGGGTCCCGATTCAGGTCCAGACTCTCCTGGGAAGCTGTGCCTAGATGTAAATGCAAAGACTCTCTCAGAAAGGAACCTAAAGCATGTATTTATCTGAGGCTTGAGGTTAGTTGGGAGGGACACTTTTGTAGTGTAAATCATTTGTGACTTTTTGGGAAAACATTTTCTTCTGCTGTGCATGTATTACTTTTGACAAATCCCGCTATTCCTGAAGCAACAATAAGCACACAAGGTGTGTGTTTCACCAACTCTGAGTCAGAGAGGGGGGAAAAAGAGATTAAAATAGAGCAAATGGCTCTTGCATCAGAAGGCACAGCCAGCCTGAAGAAAAGAATAAACTAGATGAAGTCGCTTCAGAGGCCATGGCGTGGAGGAGTTGTCAGCGTGTGGGAGTCGGATGAAATCAGAGACGAAGTCTTGTTTTGACCCTTTTTGCTCTTTTTGTGTACAGAGAAATAACAATCTCGATTGTCAGTGTTTAGCGATCAAATTAACCAAGTCATTGTGGGGCCTTTTTTTGCCAGAGCAGAAAGGTTTGGCACCTTTTAGACTCGAAGGCGGTTTCCTTGGTGAAGACCCTAAGGGCGGGTGATTTTCTCGGGACCCCTGGAGACCACAGACTCCCGGGAAGGAGGACTTGTTCTTGTCAGGGTTCACATCTCGCGCTCAGAGGCGGGGCTGTGGGAGGGGATGGGGTTTTGGGGTGCTGCGGGTGGTTTGGCGCGAGGAGATGGGGTCCCTGCGAGGGCGCCGCTCCCTCCCTGGCTCCGGCCTTGTTCCGGCTTCCTGAGCGCTGAGGTGAGCAGCCTTCTTCCTCCTGGACACCAACATGGACACGGGCACTGGGGCTCCCGAACTGCGGGCCGAAGCACGCCGGGCCTCCTTTTAGTTGCAGTGTGAGATTTTGACCCAGCGCGCTGCGAAGCGACCGAGACAATTCCTTTCTTCAGGGTCTACTGGGTGCTGTTTACCGTGCAGAGTGTTTAGTTCCACTTGGCTGGCGCAGCGGTCTTGCCCTGGAGGTGATGCTTGCTCAGAACCGCACAGCGGGGCAGGACCAGAGCGGGACCCGTGGGAACAGAGCGCTGCCCTGCCTGGAAATGCGGAATCTGTCCCCAGTTCTAGGCTGGAAGATTTGGGGTAATTGGGTGGGGAAAAGTCCTCTTTTCTAGTGCAGATTCCTCTGTATTTTCTGAAAAAGTACAGTCAGGTTATCTTTCTCTTGCCTGGTCTACTCCTTAGCTGCTCGGGGAGAACAGACTATGGGGCCTAGGAGGAGGTGGCCTCACGTTAGTCACTCTTATTTGTTTGTTTTTGTATTTTGTGGAGCCCAGGCTGGCCTCAAACTCGTGGGGATCCTCCAGCCTCAGCCTCCTGAGGACTGAGATTACGGGGTGCACCACCACACCAGGCTTTTCAAATGTACAGTTGCTGATTGATGTTTTGTGATGGGCTGTTCGCCTCAATTCGCTGAGGTCCCAAGTTACAAGCCTGCCTTTAACAATGTTCGCAAACCCCTGTGCAGTACTGGGGTCAAGTCAGGTCAGTTTCTTTCCCTGTCCAGCTGCTGCCCTTGAGGTCCTGCCTGTGTCCGGACACGAGGCGAGCACGGCACCGCCAAATGCAGCAGCAGAAAGTGGAAGGAGGACTCAGAACGCTGAGACCAGAGGAGCCGCGGGCGCGCCTGCCCAGGAAGGGTGTGGCTTCCCGTCCGCTCCCCCGTGGACGGGCAGAGCTCCTGCCTCCCTAGGGATGTTGGTTTCCAAGGGCCTCTCGCCCCTCGCACTGCACTGGATTTTGTTCTCCTTGGGAATTGCGGCCGCAGTCCTGCTGACTTTCCGGGGCTGTCACCCAGGAGTGCTGCAGGGGCGTGCAAGGTGGGCGTGTGTCACAGTGGGGGGGGGTGTCACAGAAGGGTCGGACAGAG